CACAAAAAGATATTGTTGGCTTGAGAGAACCAACAACTCTGCCTGGTAGAAATAAAGCAAGTGTCACAGAAGTCACTGAAACATTTCTCACCTCAAAGACAAAAACGTGGGAGGAAGGGTTTACCTAACACACAGTCTGGGAAGTTTTCCAAAATCTTTGTTTAAGAAGTGTTTAGTCTGACACAGTTCCCTCCAAAGCCCTAGAGAGATGCTAGAAATATCCACATGAGGATAATGTATGAATGAAAAAGACCTACTAAAATCCTGTTCCAAACTATGGTTCATATCACTTTGTTTCAACACATATCTGCACTGCAACCACTGAAACTCCAATACAGTGCATTGCACTACTGTCTTTCTCAGCACATTCTTACTGGATGATACTTTATATGAACATGTGTGAAATCTGTGCTAGAAGACTCATCTGTCACACATCTCTCTTGTACGCCCAGGATTGTTCCGCATTTTCTTCTGATGTTCTTCTTAAAAAAAAAAAGACAAGACTGCTGATGACAGGACGCTAGATGAGAAGGATATTTGATCTGATTTAATATGGCAATTGCTTGCTCAGCTATTTTATTAATTGATACCATTAGCAATAACAGTAACCAGTAACTGCAAATAGTTTGTTGCCTGATATTTGCAACCAAGGAGCTGCAGTCCTGCTGCTGCTCCATCAGGTCCTTTCCAGCTGTTGTCCAGGTAATATTTTTTCCTTCTTTAAAAAAACAAATAAATTTAAAACAAACAAACAAACAACAACAACAAACCCAAACCAAACCAAAACAAAAAAAAACCACCACAACCACCAGCTCCTGACTCTGTCCAGTTATTCTCTGCATCCAATTGCTCCCCAGCATGTCCAGCTCAGCCTGACAGCAATTGGGATCAAACCTCCTCTGCTGCACTTCGTGTTTCATTGCAATTTCCTTCTGAATCAAATCTGTCGACTGCAACTCCTGGCTCAACCTAGCGGTTTTCAGGATCAATCCAGCCATTATCATTCAATACATAAATCATGCTTTTGCAGTAACCTCTTTAGACCTCCAAATAAATCAGGTACACTTTGTATGATTTCTTGTTTTGACATACTAACTTCCCCTTATTATAAATGCAGATCAGAGCATTTCAATCCAGTCACAATCACGTCGTCCAGGCATGTTGCTCCTGCATTATAGAAGCAAACAATGTGAGTGGAAGAAGTGGTGCCACCAACAGCCCAATTCCTAAATTTAGTTCCCCTGTCTCTTTTCAGTCACAGCTTTTTGAGGGTAAGCTGTGCTATCTCACAATGATTCTTCACTCACACACCCCTCCACCGTACACAGGGCATCCTGACAGCATTGCACCCAGGCAGCCACCAAGCTCCCCGGAGGAGTGCTGTACAGCTACTTTATTCACACATTCAAGAGGTAAAGAAATATGCTCTGTGGATCTTCGCCCTGGGGAAAACTAGTGGAAGCAGCAGGTCTAGAGAAGCATAAGAAATATTGCTTCGTCTAGAAATTAGTAACCATGAAACAGAAAGAGTAACAGTTCCTTATGTTCTCTCTTCCCCAACACAGAATTGTGGTGTCAGGTCCAACCCAATCCAAAGTGGACATTTTTCCTTCCGAGAGGTGGAGGTCTTTTCTCCTCATATCCAGTTTATGCTGCATATCCATTTACTTCCACAGAGTATTTACACTCCAAATCAAAACCAAAAAAAAGCACATCACTGAGAAATTACAAAATATCCTTCCTTATTTAAATAATCCACTTCTAGCTGTCTCAGAAATGATTATTTTAACTTCTGCATGCCTTTAAGCAAACTGAAAGGGCAAAGTATAGAACTGAGCAGACAGGTTCAGGAGTCAGTGGGATAAAAATGAACAACAATGCATTATCCTGCCCCAGGGATCCATTTGTATCTTGTTATTATTTATCACTATGATTTCTAGCTATTTTGTAATATATTATTATTTTACTTTTTTTTCTTAAGAAAGTAGAATTCCAAGGAAATAAGCTTTCTACTTTACTATTTCTTAAATAAAATGAAATGTAAATGTATACAAATTCAAAATCACACATGTAATCAGATAAGTCTAAATAATCTCTTCTCAAATCTTCATCTCTTTCAAAATGTTCACGTTAAAATGTTGATTCGGTATATGTAGCAGACTAAAACAGAAAGACATGACAAATATCTGCCTGTTATCCAATGTGACAACTATGTTTCTCACTCAGAATAACCAGTCTCTCAGAAGAGTAATGTATATCACAGATTCTCTCAGTTTTCATTAGTACACTATCTCAATTTCTCCAGGGAACTTATCTTTGAACAACATATCACTCTGCCCTTGGAACCATCAAACTGACATTTGACAAAACTGTGGAAGGCTCATAAGTTAAATTTAAAACTCTGTTAAACCTTGCCTTACACATCTCATTGAGCTCTAGCCTCCCACGGAAACAATTAGGAAGGCCAACATCAGAGGCTGGTGGGAAAACTTCTAGCACTGGTCAGTATATTATACATGGAAAAAACATCCATCTCCTCTTTATATGCAGGCAGAAAAGTTTAGGGAGTATATAACCTGCTGTAATCTAAATGAAAAAAAAAAAAAAAGTTACTGTACTGATTCTTGTGCTCAGAACATTTTTTTATTGTATAGGTAGATGCACATGGCAGGGGTTATGCCAACGCATTTGATTTTCTTGTTTGCCATCAGTATCAATAACCCTTCATGTTGTAAAACAGATGCAGCATTTTTCTAATCATTCTAACCCATATAAATATGGATAAACAAAATGACAGCTAAGAACATATTGATAAGCAGGAATTAAAGAAATTAATAGATCTGTTTCTTAAATTAAGTTTTGACCTTAATGACGATTCAAGCTGCGAAAACTTAACACTTCACTGAAATCCCACAATAAACTCTAATCATACGCTACAACTTATCTAGGACTCTAGGGATGAAAGTTGCCTGGGTTATGAGGACAGTTTGCTTCAGCAAGGTCAGCTGGTTTTTTAGGTCAATAAAACATAACAGAAATTGCACCTCCAACTGCTGAACAAATGTTTCTGCATACCAATCATTGAATTCCAGTGAAATCAACCATAATGACAAACGCATAGCATAATACCTTTCTTTAAGCTCTCTCTGGCTGGAGAGATTTTCAATAAATGTTGAGTATGTTCTGATAGAAATGCCAAAGTTCTCACATTCGGGCAATAATTTCATCATAGCCAATTCCAGAGTAAATGCATTTAATTAATTTCTGGAAGAAAGAAAGATTCTGAAAATAATTTAAGTATTTTTATAATGCAGGTGTTATAACTATCCATTAAAGCACATTAAAATGTGCTTGTAGTAGATAGACAATAAAAAGAAAGTGATCATCCGATTCATTGCTGCAATCAATAAGCTTCAAATTTCAGAAAGAAAATTTTCCAGCTGGAAAGTAACTTGTGATTGTGAGGTTCATTAAAGCATATCAGGAAAAAAGCCCTCTTGTCTTGTCAATCTTTTCATAATGAGCCACCTTTTGCCATACAGTTCGAAGGTATCCGCGTCAGAAACTTCACTGACACGTCTGAACGGTGAAACGTGAACTGTGCTTGGTTTTGAGACTAAGATACCAAAACTCTCCAAAACTGGCAAGCTCTGCAAAAAGCATGCATTGACATAAAAATCCTGAAAACTTCAGATGTAAATACATTATAAAGGCAGATTGGACATTTGCCATGATTCTAGTCAAATCTGCTGCATGGCAACCTAATACCTGGAACTGTATCTGCAAATGCAAAACTTTGGTAGCTGAAATAATCCACCCGGAAAGTCTTTGCAGTATATACCCTCCTTTATATTTCAGTCCAACTGGTCTATGAAGTAGTAAACACTTTCTTCCTTGATAATGACTGAAAACCAGGTTTGTTCCTGCCTAAAGCAAAGTTCCTTCAGTACAGGAAACAAAGCTTTGTGCAAGTTTCAATCACCAATTTCAGAAATTGAAAAATAAGAGGTGAGCTTAAGAATATAGAACTGAATGGGGGAATTAATGGGGAAAGGAAGAAGCAGATGAACCTGTACTCCAAATCATATGAAGTTAGTAGTTTCTAAAATACCAAGTAGATGTTTTAAGACTGTGCTGTAAACTTACACTTAAGTATAAACTTACACTTTACAGCCATTCATAAGCATGAGAAAGAAAAATTAACATCAAGGCCTACTAAGAGAAAAAAAATGTTGACTAGATCAATTTTTACTTTCAACAAGCACCACAAGATATGTAATAATACTTGATAAGATGATAAGATTACTCAAACAGTGCACAAGCACAAACACTAATTTAAACTAATTTAAAATCTAGAAGAAAGAAAAACCTGAATCTGACTAGATGATTCTATATACAAACACAGCATATAAAACACACACATACATACGCCTCCCTTGCAGTTATGTGCTGGTCCATAATCTGGCCAGCAGAAACAGCTAAAAGTTCCTGAACCAGAAGCTGAAACACTCCAACTCATCCTATTATGCCTGCAATAACAGTAAAAGGTGTGATGGTAAAGTATTAAGAATAAGTCTCTCATCTTAGGTATAAATCTCTCTGTATACTATCGTTATTGTTCAATCCATCACCTACTGGGTTGGTTTGTCTACCAAAATGTTATTCCCAATGTTGAACTCCCTAAACAAAGATAATAAAAGTAAAACTGAAAGAAGAAAAAAATCTTCACACAAAACAACATATGAATTGAATATGTTGTTAATAAATATTTTTTTCTTACAGACTTTTGACAAAAGCATTCATTTACTGTAAAGTTTCTGATCTAGAAATGGAATGACCAAAAACTTCACATTAGGGACAAACAGAATAAAAACAAAAATCAAAAAAAAAAGACAAACAGAAGGTGTTAATATGGAATCAAAATAGTCAAATAAATGAAGCATCAATGAAAACCTTCATTGTGGAAGGAGCAATTAAGTAGGAGAGCAGAAAATACTGACCTGGAAGTCAAGCTGGTTGGAGTAGGGATGAAAGCAGCAGTTTGGAGAAAAACAGATAGAGAGGAAGACAGCAAAAGAGAATAAAGGGAGGAACACATTAGTTCTTTAAAAATATAACAAGCAGATGTTATATCAACAGATTTCATTAAAAAAAAAAAGAAAAGGAAAGGAAAGGGAAAGCGAGAAGTAAAATAAAATTTCTGTAGCAGTATATCCTTGCTGTGCACTGAATAAAACAAAAATTTTAAAGTAAAATGGCATCTTGTCATTTGTGGACTGTGGAAAGCCATCCATATTTAGAACCATCCAAATGTATACACACACCGAATGGAAGAAATAAATTAGGTGGATATTGGTAGGGTTTGCTGCCACACAAGTGTCTCATCATATACCACGTAGTCCTTTTTTGAACTGACATAGGTTTGATGACCCACATTCAAGTCTTCCCATGAAAGCCGAAACAGCTAAACAATTTGGCAGCTTGTTCAAAGATATCATTTTGAAGTTCACAAAGCACTGTACCTAACAATCAAAGACAGAGATTTGCCACCCCACCCCCCCAAAAATACAGCCCCTTCTAATACTGACAGCAGTATTTTTCTTCAGTGTGAATAATAAGGTTAATACTTCATCACTGAAAATACCCCGATGCTTGATAACTTATTTATTAAAAAATACCTAACCTGCCCTTTCAATTAAGTAAGGCAAAAAAAATCCCTGCCTGACACCCAGCTAGATTAATCCTTAAAGTTGTCACTGGTGCACAGGTTTTCATTCACTTATGAAAGGGAAATTTTTTAAAAGCCACAAAAATACTTCTTTTGAACACAATTATTCCATGAGCTGGTGTTTTGTCATTTACGCAATGAATTGTCAGTGCTCTGTGGACTTACTTTCATCAGAATTCAAATCCAAATCAATTCAGAATGAATTAATTGTAGTCTGATCACCCCAAGAGCTTAAACGTGCATCTATAGTGTTATTATGCAAAACTTACCACTGCCTGTGAAAAGTGGGTAACAAAAAACCAAACTTCTTGTTGAAAAACAAACTGGTTTTGTCTCATAGCTAGGACAGTATTTTTAAATGGACTTTCATATTGTTGTAAGTTTTGCTGAGAAGCTACACTCAGTCAAGCAGACGACTGACCTTCTAACATACCATTGGAGAAAAGCAGATCCAAGATTTTGCAATCTACACAATGTTCTCATCGCTTTCTCTTTTCAGTCTAAATTTATTAATGGATAACTTATATCCATTGTCTTATGTGCCAACACTCTTTTACCAAAATCACTCTTCCTTCACCACTGCGCTTACCCTTTCACATATTTATAGAGAACTAGCATCCCTGCCAAGCCTTTGTTTTGCCGGAGAAACAAGCCACTGCTGTTTAGACTCCTCCTGTGACATGAGCACTCCATTCCTTTAATTACCCTACCAGCCCTCTCTGCACCTGTTTCCAGTTTTCATTCAACCTTCTCGAATATGACCGATGAGAAGTTCACAGCAGTTTTCCACATGGAGTCTTGCTAGTGCTCGATGACATTAATACCTTCCTATCCTTACTGCAGACATTTATTCTGACATATCAGGATTCACACCTCGTTATTTAGATGTCTGCTTCATTATTTAGATGGCTCACAATGACACTGCCATAAGCAAATTCACCCAAACTTTATCTTCCTAAACTGTATCAAGTATGATCCTTAGCTTACAGCAGGCAGTCTTACTGGTCCTAGCTTCATAATCATGCATTTTGTACTACTGTATTGCACTACATTTCATGATTCAAACTCCCTAGCATATTTCACAAATATATTTTTCATTCCAACACCGTTAATAAAAGCATTGAACAATATATTCCTTCCATTCTGAAAGTTCCATTTCAGATGCAGTTACCTCTCTTTGGCTAGGCCCTTCACATTAAAATTTAAGCTGATCACTATCTTACAGTTTCATTTACATTATAAAAAAAAAAATCCCAAACCAAAAAAAAAAACCCACACCACATTTACTTCATCAAGAAAACCAAAGAAAAACATCAAGCTAAGTTTACCAAAAGTACATTATACTGGGATATATTGCATTTAATTTTAACCTGTTCTCATTATAAATATAAATCATGAAAGATGTAATAGAAGTTATCAAACAGCTTTAGTATAGGAAGAGGAATTGGTTCTCCTATGTAGTAATAAGAAGCTATAAAATATAAAATTAATATATATGGAGTAATTTAAGAAACAGACCAACATGTTTTTATATATGAGGAGTAGTATGAATCATGAATCTTAAGTGATGCAAGTCAGAAGTGTGACAGTTTCTGAGGCAAGAAAAATCAGGTTAAAACCAAAAGAATTACCATTCATACAAAATCTTTTTCAGGATTACTAATAATGTTCGTTTGCCAAATAGCATACACTTATAAATTTAATTGCCCATATTTTGAAGCAGATATTTTTATCCTTGAGTATCTGACACTTTGTGTCAATACTTTCTGACAAATAGCAGAACATTAGTATTCATCATCTTTTAATTCTTGTTTGAATTTGTAAATTATAACGTTATTACAAACGTTTTTACTTTTCAAACTGATTTATACAAGTACACCTCATTATGCTGATGAATTTGTATGTGAATATAACAAATATTGTGAAGATACCATAACTTGCAATACTCTTGATTATAACTCTCTCAGAAATTTATGTTTATAAATTTTGAGAATTTATGTTGTTGCAATTATCTTGCAATGTAAAGATGTTGGCACAGCAGTGAATGTGGATCCCAGCAAGCTGTTAACCAAAAAACACATTTCAAAAGAGCATTCATTTTCCTACAAAACCCTGGAGATGCCCTTGCATCTGAAGTTAGGGAAAATGTTGAAGATATCCTGTTTCTGAGCAAGAAAAAAAGGGAGAAAAAGTAAGGAGAGAAAATAGTAACCTAGAGCACATTATATGAATTACAAAACAGTGGGACAAGAAGGAAAGAACATTTTCAAATACGCTTCTGTTAAAGTTGCAGTCATTTTCACAATGCTTTATTCCCATAAAGTGGGTAAACTGAGCTTTGGCTCCACCTCTTCCCTTCAATAATGAGCCAATCAAGTAGTCATTACAAGCAGAAAAAGTAGTAGCACTTCATAAAATGTTACAGCAATTTACACTCCACCTAACCCCCTAGAAAGGGGAATTTCAACATCAAAGTTTCCTCTCTAGGGACACCAACAGGTGGCACAGCTATATACAGATTTAGATCTTTAGGCCAATGTTTTTAGAAAATAAGGAAGAGGGAGAGAAAATAAATTAAGTTTTAGAGAAACCTAAGTTGAGCCTGATTAGTAAGAAGGGTTAGACACCCACTCTCTAAAAATATTTCCCTATTACACCTGTATGTTGCTGGCAGATTGTTAGCCTTACTGTACTAATCAACAAATTTGTGCCTGTGCTTATGCATGGTGGAAAGTAGCTTTAAGACTGCATTACCAAGTAAAGGCAGTAACATCTGTTGATGAAACCAATAATAGATAATTTTTACATAATTCCTTTTTTTTTTCCTAGTTTAAAATAATTGACTTATATATACTGTGTGTATAGGAATTTGGAATTAATCTTGAAAGCTGGACATAAATTTAGTGAGAAACTGCATTAAAGTTAACAGAATTCACAAACAAATCTTAGAGCATAATGATTCCCCAAAATTGCAACATACTACTGTCCTCAGCTGGCCATGCCATAGATATCTTATTGTAAGCATTGCAGAAGCACTTAAATGTTCATAGAAAAATTTAACTACTTCATCACATTCAAAGTACAGTATCTCCTGTTCAAAGAAGTCTGTGCCTACTCAGTGGTACCAAATTCTTTTCTGAAACGTTATTTCAGGATCAACACCCTCACCAAGAATAACAGACTGGAAAGCAGTGTCCCAAAATTTCACTGATAAAAGTGCATCGAATTTTCAAAAAAAAATTAATACAAAAATAGAAAATTCTGTCCATTACATCATGCACTACAAGGTTCTCAGATAATAAGAAGAGGTTATATGCTGACAAGGCTTTAGTAATAGCTCTGCATCACTGGGTTCCTTGTTTCTTTGTAATCATTGTTTTGTAATCTATAATTCTCAATTTAATTCAAATAAATCTACTGATCTATATAGATTCTTTATCTGTTTTTTACATAACATATTTAAAACTTTAACATTTACTGAAAATTTAGATCACAAGCTCCACTACTTCATCATGTTCGTCTTTTAATCTTGTCATTTTAATATTCAACCATTCAACATGTACATGATTGCTACTTAATAAATCTCTTGAGATTATCGTCTTGAACAAAAGTTTAGCATGCCTACTATTGTGTCTAATGTCACACAATAATTCAGTAGGTTTTATAGCCCAATGAGGATATCAGTTACTGTTTCTGTAAAAACTACACAGTCAGTTTCCACCAGCTTGGTCACACCTGGAGTCGCTATATTACAACCCCAGGTCCGTAATTGCCCCTACAGTACATGTGCTGATGGGTGGAATAGGCAGCACTTTCTTGACAACACAAATTCACTAATTGTGTTATCTTTTTCCAATATGCTGCTTTAGGATTTTGGGGAGTTTAGGCAGAATTCAGTCACAGTGCACAAAGTGACCACTCTTTATTACTAGCTTCCTCCGGTATCTACTTTACACATTAAAATCAGTGCAAACACTAGAGTATTCTAAACTCCTCCTGATGTGGTGAGAGAGGTAACTGCTAATTAAAGTTGTCCTCATGTAAACACTCAGTTCTATTTTGAGTAATCTTTTTTCACTTTAATTTTGAGGTCTCGGTTCTTATGATACTTTGATTGATAACTGTATGTCATTTGTTATTACCATTATTAAAGCTTTGCCAAATATCTGCAGAGAAAGATAAGTTTTGGCAACAGATAACTGTGAAGGTTGATAAGTCATCATCAGTAAAAGATGCTCTACACATCCTTTCCAAGCTGGCTGTTTTCCTCCCCCTAAGGTAACCAACATTTCCAGGAGATCTTCCCCTCTTTCATCATAATTATCCCTAATGGGAGAGCAGTGCTATGTCTTGACTGGAACTATAGCAGTAATCACAACAATGAGATCCCTTAAACTTCTCTTTTGGAACCATGAAGCACTTTTCTTCTGACTTGACCACTAGAAAACAATTAAATAAAATATTTGAAATCATAAAATTCTTTCTTTCATTTACCTAAGAGTGGCTAAGTACAGGAAGGGAACAAAGAAATTACATTCACATAAATTGCTTATCAACCAAATAAATTGCAGCGTACCATATGGGAGAAGGTTCCAAGAATCATTTAATTACAAAGGACATAAGACAAATGGATCCCAAAACCCTCTTGTCTCCATTAGGGAAAGACTGCACAACCTTCCCAGAAATAAGACACACACTGCCTGGTCAGTATCAGAAAAGGTTCATTTGTAGCAGACAAAGACTACAGAAACACTGAGAAATAGTTATAACTATTACTAAACAGTCATGAGACTAGTTAGAAATACTTACCAATACTTTTCAGGACCTCTCAGAACTAGTGATGCTGTTCACACTGAAGAAACACATGGGAAAAGTTTTGATTTACCAGTTGCTAGAAACACAGGATTGTTCCCCAACAAGGTTTTCTGGGAGGGTTGTTGTCACTGTAAATTGCATATGGCTTTTCCTATACATGTTCCTTTCATGGAGACAATTAAAAAAATATAAACCTTAAATTGTTCCAAAGTCAGCAGACAGGAGATGCGGTTCTCAGGTAGCCATTTTTTTTTCATTTCTGATTCAATTTTACAAGACATAATGAACATTCTATTAAAAACGTATTCTACTCTTTACTTCTCTACTCTGCAATGAAGATCAAGTAAATGAAAATGCCACTCAATGTAAGACAAATAATACAAGAATTACCTTTCTAACTCAGCAATTTTCTTATCTTTGTCATTCTTCTCATTCTCTACTTCCTTGAGTATTTCTAGAAGTCTGTCAACCTCAGCCTGAGCTTTGCCACATTCTTCTCTATAGTACGATGCCTCTTTGTCAAGCTGTTTCATTCTGTCTGCAAATTCTGGATTCATCCGTGCCTCCTCTTCAGCCTCATGAGCCTTCAGAATCAATATTTTTTAGAAAAAAATAAGGATGAAATAATTTATATAGCTTTAAGAGCTTTACTTTTTCAGTCTCGGAGTTCAAATTTTCGTTAAAAAGGATTATGGGTATTTCTGTCCGATAACAATTTTTTCTACAGAAGCATTATAAAAAGGAATGAAAATATCTGCATAGTCTAAAATTACAGTCAAATGCTATCATCCTGAAGGGGGAGGGGATTTATTAAGGTTTTTTTACACATTAAATTGACCATATTTTAAGGGTGTTTTTTAAATTAAAAAATCACCTTTTAATTCATTTAATTCACATTAAGCTTTTAAAGTCTTTCAATTATAGGCAATTTCTTAATAAATCGTATTCTTTCTCTTTCCCCGTACATATATCCACACTTTGTCCATGTATATATATACACACAAAGATACATATATACATATTTTAATCTGTATCACTGGATGATTCAAGTGCAGTTTGATACAAAAAATTTAAAAGGATGAAAATGTTTTTATGCACTGCTGTTTTTAAAATACAAACCGATAAACTAAAAATTTGCTTTCAGCAGACTTTTTACCCAATAATCCTTTTTCTCTTACCATTAATACTTAACCTGAAACATCAGAAGACCAAGCCCATTGGTGAAAACAGCACAAACCTGGCAAACACATGCATGGATGGGTGGCAGTTTCACAGACAAGAAAGAACGCAATGAATACAACAACAACAGTGCAGAGCCCAATCTTACTCCCATCAAACCTAATGGCAAAAACCCAATTAACTTCAATGGGAGCATGATCAGGCATCAAGTGCTTTAAACTGTTGGCTGGAATAATCACAGACAGATGGAAACAACAACGCACTGCAATGCTTAGCCTACCCCTTGCTTCCCATTATTCCTAATTGGCATCTTGAAAGAGCAGGCAAGGAAAAAACAAGTAGTTTAAGGCAGTGCACATTAAACATAGAAAATTCAGATAACATTCTCTTAACATACAGGAATTTTACAGAAATCCAGGATATTTAGAACCGGAGGTCCTCCAACTATCTTATTACACAGAGAATACGTGGACTTACTTATCCTTCTTAATTTCAGGGAATAGACAATGCAAGCAAGCAATTGAAGAAATGCAGATCAAAATGAAACATGCGTGTTTTGGAAAGAATTAATATAAACTACAGGTACTAGAAGGTTCATATTCTTTGCAATGGTTAAAATTTTCTGTATAAATAAAGAACAAGCCTGGGTTTAGTATAAATACAACAATTAAAAAATTGAAATTACTAGGGAAGAAACTTAGGGGGTTTGCATGTAACATATCATTTAAGCATGAGGATAATAAGAAAAAAGATAGTACATTTTAAGTGTTATTTATCCTACTGTGAGATTTTTATTCAGAAGAAATATTTGGTTACCAAAATAAGCCAAGGGAATGACATGAGATGCCTACTAAACCTACTGGCCTTGCTCTTCAAATTCTGTATTTTGGATAATAATACATGCTCCAGCTCTGAATTCTATGCAGATACAGGACTTTCCTAACATAGAGCTCATTTCAAGATAACATCCAAAGAGTATCTTGATTTTACTGTTTGGGTGAGTTGCCAGCAACAGATTCCTTTTCATCCTCATAAATCTTCCTGCTTTAATAATAAACTTTGATTTATTTTATACAGGGTGTTAATTGTATCAAGAAATTTACTTTCTACTAGCTTTGTAATTTTGAAGTGAATGTAATACTCAGACTCAGGGCCAATTGTGTGAGAGACTGTGGACCAATTTCCAGCTGCAAAGCACTTCAATTTTCCATCAGCTTTATTAAGATATTAGACGACATTTTCTCTCTCCAAAAATGAATACTAAGTCTTCTTTTGCAAAGAATAAAAATAATTCCATAGTAAAGGTAAATTCACTCTAGGAAAAAAAAAAATACAACCCAACTCCCACCTTTAAGATACTAAGAAACCTGTGCAAAAAGCTGTTGTTCCCTATTGCTCTTCAGATTTCTCCTCCTCTCCTAAGGGTAAATCCAGAATTTCACAGTTCCCCTCTAGATGCGATCACTCTTTCATATTCCTCTCTGTCACCTTTCTTTCCCTTCTGTTTATTTTAATGTATAATTCACTTATTTACCAGCCTTGCTTCCATCATTTCATAAACAGGCAAAACACCCGCCTTCCTGCCTCTAGCCTCTTCTTCACTTTAGCATACAGGACCTCTCAGCTTCAGCCCAAACTTTTTTCCCCCATGCACCTCTACCCTAGTTTTAACCCAGGACAAGAACCAATACAGAAGAGATAGAAAAGCCTGTCTTTTTTTTTGTCTTTTTTTTTTTCTTTTCATTGCCACACTGGACTTTCTATGATGAAAACACATAATTTGGCAAGAATATGATAGTGTCACCAATGCAAAGGTGCCAAATGTTCAACTATCACAGAATATTCCTGTCACACAGCAGCTCAGAAATGTACTGAACAAATTATCTACTGCACAACTTATAGCTAAAACATCACCTAAAATCACAGATATGAATTATATTCTTCAGTTTAGCCCTATAATCCTTGCTCAATGGCATGCTAAGGAAATTGATGTTAAGTTGCAAAAGTATTTTCAATTCTTGTGCTTTCTGTGGTAGTCATGCATTCCATATTTGTGGGATGCGTTTTTGAAAAATTTTGTGGTCATTGTATTTCCCCATGGTTTTCAAACATGAAGCAGAACCTATAAGGTATGATCAAATCCAATGTGATTAGGTATCCAACTTACACAGGGTTTTGAGGTGCAGCACAGTTATCCATAATGTCACACATAAATCAATATAAGCATTCAGTTCAAAGACAAGCATAAGATTATACTAATCTTAAAAAAGAAAAAAATAATTTAAAAAAAATCCCAGTATTGCAAATCACCAATTCAGTTGGTTGCTTCTACTTTTACAAGCACTTCGTACAGAATATTTTTGGACTACTGGCAGGAAACATTTTTCTACAACAGCATTGCCTTAATGAAGAAGGAAAGGAAAGTTAGTTAAAAAGGGGGAGCAAGAACATAAAACATTTTTGAAAAAGAGCTTTCTGCAGGTGGTACTCTAACTTGCAATGAGTCCCTTTAAGGGAATCCTCATGTTGTAAACAAAGCTGCTAATACTACAAGAGAGCAGAACACAATCCATCTGACATTCCCAGGACAAAGGCATAGAATTACTTATGAGAGCCCTATTATATTTTATGGTTTTGAAAGATGTGTTTGGATTTGAACTGGGCACTTTTTTTCAGTTGTTATATACAGACCAGGGGTGATTTGTTGACAGATGGAACTTGACTTTTGAGGTCAAACAGTAGGCCCAAAGGAGATTAAAGGCAACTCGGCTGATACTGACCCTGCTCCCACCCAGACAGGGCAGATTTCTTTGGCTTCTTTGCAGGCTGTGGGAGACAGGCTTGGCTCACTTCTAACCAGAAGCTGCGTGGTTATCACATGAATCAGAAAGTCTCTGCCTATTACTGCTGTCCTCTCTTCTAGCCTTTTTTTCATTTCTGTCCCCCTTTTTCTCCCTAAGTCCTCTGTTTCCTTGGGAGGAATACATTTTCTGGTTTTATGGGGCTTTTATGGGTAAGAGTGACTGGTTCATGCATACCTTTCAGCAGCAAAGTAATTGATCTCTTAATCTGTATCTGTAAATGATAATTATTGTGTATGCAGATTAGGCTAGTTTCAAACTAGCACACTTGGTTTATGATGTTTTGTTTGTCAATCTTGCGACTGTGCTGTTGTACATTACTTTTACAAGTCAATAAAAATAGCAGATCACTACCATTAGAATTTCACTAATTTTTACAGTAATTATGTATCTGTTCTGATATTTGCTTAATAAGTACTACAAATACTCTAGAAGTAAAGTAACATTTCCTTACGTAAACCACAAATTTCCTACAGAAAAACCATAATAGTGTGGCACAGACATGCAACATGAATTATTTAGTCTATTAAAATTTTATGGTACAATCATGCATGCATTATTCTGCATAACAGAAATGGATGGATAGATATAGTATTTAATTTTTAAAGCTTCAGACAAACATACACAGAAATCAACAGAGTACTTCATAAAAAAATGGAACAGCAGAATTTACATGCAAGAAATTACTTTGTAAGATCCTTCAAATTTTATTACTTTCAATAATAAACTAAAAAAAAATTGCTATCACCTTAATTTTTTTGTAGTCTCCTTAAAATTTGAGTTGTTTTTTTTTAACTTCAGGGACTGCTCTAAGCAATTTAAAGTGGGTTCTGCAAGTACTTTAAATTTTAATCTGACATTGCTCTGGTGGAGCATTTGGAAAATTAAGTCTTTATTATTGAGAAAAAGGTTCACCAGAACTCCAAACTAAGTACATTGTTCTATTTTCATTACAGTACAAAAACAATCATGTAACTTCTTATAATCAGTTTTGCACAAGAATTCATTGGGTATTTCAAAAAGTTCACCTTTCAAAACATGAAGAAATGTGCACCCAATTCTGTTCACATCTTATTCACACAGGTGAACACATTGTGAAATCTTTCACTGTAGAGTATGCAGGATTTGCACCCCTTCCATCTCCACTTTGGTACCCAAATATGTATAGGAATAAAACACTTCTATCCATTGCTGTATTTAAAAAACATTAGATTCAGCAATAAATGAAAGTCTTGGAGTTGATATCTTGTGACATATACACAGGTACCAAACACATTCCACCACAAAAAAATGCTATATTACTGCATGGGCTAAAAGAGGTCTACTCAGAGATTGACTGCTAGTTCTCTGACTCATGTAAACAAAACTTCAGTATTTTAAGATTAGACTGCCATCTGTTTTTTTATAACACTATTATTTTCAAACAAAAAAAAAGGCAAGGAAACATTCTATTAAATAAAGTATCATAATGATTTGCAGTACAAAAAAAAGTGTTTCAAATAACTGCTAATATGCCTTCACAAAGAACAAAGGTGAAATCTTGGCCTTATGGAATTCCAAGAATATGTTGCCATTGATTTCAATCAAATCATTATTTCGTTTCAAGATCTTAAGTGGTTTGGCAGGAGAAGAGGATCATTACTACTTGCATTGTTAAAAGTAGACAGATATATAAGTAGGAGAAGAAAGAAGATGAGCAAGAAAAGTTTATTTAACAAAGCCTGTCTCATGGATATACTACAATTGCTGCCTGGTGCCAAAGGAAAAGGATCTTGCATCCATTATTTCGGAACTGCCAACAGGCTGTCCTTTTGAAAATTAAGCACGTAAAGGCAGAAAAAATGAAATAAAATTTAAAAAGGACTGATTGACTTTGGAATACCGCACACAAATAGACTAGGAACTAACAAATGAATTCCATACAGCAGAATAACTAATATTGAAATAATGACTGGAAAGCATTTATGAAAATCAAGATAAAAACTAACACAAAAAAGACTCCAGTCTGAAAAGACATGCACAGTAGGAGTGCAAATGATATGAATAGAAACATAACTACCACAAAGGTGAGCCAAGATGATACAGAAAAAAAGGTTTTATTGTTCAAAGAGAAAAGCTCTTTGACCAGCAGTGTGCTGGATGGTAGAGTTGATAGTATCAGGTCTTACAATCAATTTATAACTGGATTCTAAAACCAATTAACCAGTAACTTTAAAAGTAAATACAGCACATTCTGTGGGACTCTCTTTTGCCATACTTAAGTCGTGACATATCCATTACGTGGTTAGAAGCTACAAAACTTAGCAATAATAGATTCCAAAGGTGGAATCCTGGTCCACTGACATTAATGGCAAAATTCCCATTGACTTCAGTGAAGGCAATACCTTCCCTAATGCATAGTATCACATTACTTAAGCTACAAAACCGGTTCTTCTATATATACTATCCCAATTACACGGTAATTCCAACTATGATTACTATGTAAACTATAGCTTGTAAATTGCTATTACAGTTACATCATTTTTTCTGTCCTGTGATGCTCACAGCACATTAAATGTAAGAGTGTCAGCCAAAAAAAATGAAAACTGTTCTCTGCAGAATGTTTGTTACTGCTCTTCCTCAAATTGAAAAAGGAACACAGTCAAGTCATAAGGATAGATATTGTGCAATTAAAGCAGACATTGGCAAGAATAATAATGCTAAACACCCAAAGTAATACCGTTTGACTTTTTCAAATACCACTATTTACATTCATCATCTTATATTTCAGCATTTTCTTCAATTAAATAAAAGTTTCTATATTCTTAATATTTATATGCTGAATGTATACAGCCTTTTATGAGTAAAATGATCTAAACTATTTTAATCATACGGACTTTTGAAAATAGTATGTCACTTCCTAGATATTCTTATTCATGTAATCAACTCAGTCGCTTAAGATAAACTGAGTAAATTTAAGTTTGAAGGATCAAATAAAGTACTGCAGAAGGAGGAATTAAAAAGCAAAGCAAAGCAAAAAAAAAAAAAAAAATCTGCATGCTTTTTCTGATGGAGAAGTTGAGGACCTAAAGGCTAGAATGTTTGTTTTCTCAGAAATACTGTATGTGCCTATTTAATACATTTCATATTCTTTAAATGGCCTTGAAGTCCACAAAGTTCATTTATTTGGATTTAATGAATATAGCATAGCAGCATCAGAATTATTCTGCAAAGCTCCACAGAGGAAGAGCACAACACAGTAAGGTAATGGATCCTCATGCTTTCATATGTTACAGCTGGCATTTTAAAAAAGAACTTACTGGATTGTACATCTGATTGAACAACTGTTCAGCTTGCTACATTGCAAAGTTGGAAGGGAGTGAAGCACAGACAGGAAAAGAAGGAAAGATCCAGGAAAACAGCATTAGCTCAACAAAACCAGTGCATTTGCACAGAAGAACTTGTCATAAAAAAAGTAGAAATTTAAGATTCTAAACATTCCTTGGTGAAAGTGAGAGGCACTGGGGAAACATAAATGTTGACTTTGGCTCCTAAAAAAGAATGGCTGGAGTAAGAAATTTAAGGTTTGTGTTACTTTCCCTTTCTCAAGTTAAATAACCCATGAAATAAAGAAAGGTGTCCACTTTTGATGATACATTAAGTGCTGGTCTCAAGCAATGAATCACAAGAAGTGCTTTTGGCTGAGGCTGCAATTTATCACCAAAGCTTCAAAGCTGGTAATAATAAAAGATTAATTAAATTGTATCATTAAATTGATTACTTTCCTTTTGTTTAACACAAGACTGAATTTTCTATGCAGAATGACTTTCTAACAGTACAGCTTGGCAAAAAGTACTTTAGCAACTGCAAATATGTCAGTAAGCAAGTAAATTTAAGATAATGAAAAACAACAAAAGGAGGAAATTCTAGAGTGGATAATAAGATTATATATATATACACACACATATATATATAAAACTTAGCTACCTATTAGGTAATTCCTGCTGTTCTTTCACTAGTAGCAATACAAAGTAAGTCAACAAAAAGTCTGTGGAATTTTGGCAAAAAAAAAGTATTGAGCATTCTTCTGGGTTTTATGATTTTTTAAAATTTTATGAATTTCAATCCATAGTCTTTATCACAAAAAGTTTAATAAGTATGCCTATGGTTTTAAACATTATTTTGTGTACCAAAATATAGTGCAGTCACATGAATAATTACTATTTACAAATATCCTATTTATTACTTTTTGAAATGTGTCTACTCTATAAAATTAAAGCAGTGAGTTTAGAATCAGCACGTTTTCTCCTGCTGAAATGCAAACAATCCAGTTATGTAATACTGAAAAAAAATTGGATCTAATGAGACCCAATCAAAAATATCTTTACTATCAATAAATGAACCTTATTCTCTCTAAAAACAGGAAGAGGAAACAAAGGAAGAGAAACTTTTAAAATTTGGGGGTTTTTAATTTACAGATTTTGTTTGGATTTGCCCTTTGTACACATTTTCTTTCAGGCACAGTACTTATTACCATTAGTGCTCATGGAAAATTAACTCCTAGCAAATATGCATAGAATACTATCTTCATATTTATTAGTATAATTTGTTAAAACATATAAATCAACATTAAACTATAATGATTTTACAATACCATAATGAAAAGTGCCTTCTCTATGATATTTTTAGAGAGAGAATAATGTGTAAGGTGCATTCAAATTTCTCAAAGTAACAGACAGCCCCTTGGAGTCACTTTTGAAAAAGAGATATAAACTGTGACCATTCCTTCTAGCTTCCGTAGTGGTTAATGTTAGTACATAAGCACACTTATGGGACACGCAGGTTAATTTACTCCTAACTATGTTGATGTTCCCTCCTACTCTAACTCAGACATATGCAAGAATAACCCAGATTTCTGTTTCAGTTAGTTTCCTAAGGAGTGAAAACATGGTGAAGGTAGTTTTCTGGGGACCAATTACTTTTAACACAGGATATTTACAGGTTTGAACATAAAGTATTTTATTAGAGAAAATGTGAATTGAAAATTACTGTTTGGAGTCTACTATCATTAACAGTCACTGTTTCTGTTCAACTAAACATGCCCACAAAGAAGGTTGTAACTACATTTTATTGTGGAAATACCTGGTCTCCTACAAATGTTGGGTGAATTTCCATTGGGGCTTTATGCTGTATTTATGATATAATAAAACGATTATGTTTTCAACTTTCATTTAATAATCCTTTGTATTTATACACAGCGAACATACTCCCTTTTTATACGAAAGACGTCCCAGACACTCTCTGACTTTTATAAGTGCTTATTTTTCCATGACTGTATGATGTATTTATATGTACAGTTATAAAAGATTGACTTAGGATTTCAAGTCCTTCAAGAGGATTTTGACTTTTAAGTGATCTGTGCTTTTAGGGGATTTTTAACTATTTTTTTAAATGAGGAAAATAAGGTACTTCAGATTGTAATGAAGTATATTTTGTAGTTAAGTGCAAAGTAAACAAACATTTTCTAACAAAAGAAAACAAAATAAAGGACTTCCAGGGAAATAGCTTCTTTGGGTATTTTAACTCTGACATCAATAACATTTATAAGTATCAAACATTTGAAGTAGTTGTGTTTCCATTAAAAGCTTTTCTATATGTTTATTGAAAAAGATTCCCTTCCTTCCTCTCCACAACTAAACATGTAACACAGGCACCTAATGGCACATATCCATACTGAATTAAAAGATAATAGTAGTATAAGGTTTACACTCTGATATCCTTTATACTTTGCAATACCTTCTTCACAGGTAAGGTTATTGAAACAATGCTTAAACAGAGAGCAGGATACTACTCAACCTGGGTAAAAAGAGTGTCAGAATATTATCCTAATGGTGGTAACATTTGTAGAGCTTATAAATATTCTTTTCTAGAAAATGAAGCATTAATTATCAATATAAAAAAACTAATGTTTGACACACACTTAGTCATGAATTGCAGAAGGCAAACATAATGCCTAAACCCATCAAATATGTCATGAGATTGGTGTTCAAACAATGAGAGCAGACATTACCAAATGACACAGAAAAAGGTCAAAGAAACAACATATGGTAGAAAAGGCTTCAACAAACCTGCAAATCATTTAGGCAAAAACTATTTTAATGCATCAATTTAAATAAAACCATGTCATAAAGTATAGGATTTGTATGTTTTCCTTTAAATGTTTGCTTCCACTACTTGCTGAATAAAAATACTGAATTGCTAGCTGAGATAAACTATGCATTATTTTGCTTAATTATCACAAACATGTGTTCACCAACAAAGCCAAAAAAACCCGCCAAAATAAAACCTAGCTAGACTTTCCATTTCAGAAGCAGAATTTTTTTTAATAGGAAGTACAGCATTTCTTAGGTGAGACTTTAATTTTTTCCCATGCTACAAACATTTCAGTCTACTTCTAGTAGAGGTATAAATTCATATACATACAAATTGCTGGTTTGATAATTTCTTTCTGCCATTCTGTTTTCTCTCCAATGTCCTGCCCCAGTTCATCTATTTGTAGCAGCTTCTCAGAATTCCCTCGTATAGGTATTCAAGATAATTTCTGAGGCTCACTAGTGGCTTTGGTACAAGCCTCTTAAGAAAAAGTTAGCAGTATTTGATGCAAGCATCAGCAAACAGCGTAAGATGGGTAGATTTCAGATTTACTCCAGAAGAGTAAATAAGCTCAACTTTTCAAAATGGGGGGGCAGGGGGGAATGTTGATTTTTGGTTTTCTGATTGTTGTTTGTTTGTTTGAAGATGGAACTTACCTTTTTCAACTGTGCTTCCAACTTACTACACTCTTCTTTCTTTTGTTCTATGGCTATTTCTAAAGACTTAAGTTTGGAGTCTCTTTTCAGCCCTGCTGATGCCAATGAAGATGCATGTTCTTTGAGATCGATTAAACTAGACTGAAAAATGACCAAGAGTAAAAAGTTAATTCCTAGTCACCAGGACACTAACTTATTGCCAACTTAGTAATCACTTGGATCCTGTTCCCCCTCCCCTTCCCCAAAAAGAGTTGACACAAAGATAAGCATTGATAGCAAAAGACACTGTTTTGAGAATACAACCAGTTGGAACCACAGGAGCTGGCGTGCAGTGAAACATAGAAACATTCGTAACAGACAAGTTGACATTATATTCTGGAGGTACAATTACTTTGAAGTCCATTCCTCTAACTGACAAATGAAAACAGGAGCAACAATGGAATATTTGAGCCTACTGGAGGCTTATGTAAAAGAAAAAGTAGAGATAATGACACACAAATATGCAAAAACTGAAGCAATATTTTATGAAAAAAAGTAAGGACTATGAAGAATGCTTAAGAAAATAGCAGTTCAGAAGTTGACCACCGAAGTGGCAGAATTTCAGTACTTAAAATTATTCAAGAGTAATCCTAATGCATTTACTTTCATCATAATGACATAGATAGAAGAACATAGATTTTACTGAAAAGACTGACCTCTTTTTCTGTCAGTTCAGCTTGTAAAGCATTAACTTTCTCCTTCAGGTCTTTGTTTTCTTTTTTATAAGATTCGATTTCTTCAAGTCTTTCTCTGTCATCTCGCTCCCTTTGCTCCTTCAAGCGCTCTATTATTCTTTCCTAACAAGGGAAAGAATTGCAAAATGGAAAAGTTGGAAATAATTTTAACAAAAGACAGAATAAAATTTCTTTGCATTAAGTAGCACTTAGAAAAATCAGCCTTCAGAAGCAGAGGATGATTGAGTTAATGGTATTAAAATCAATGCAAGATTTCCCCTGATTTCAAAAGCATCAGATCAAGGTTTTAAATACTTGATAAGAGTAATGTGGTACTGAAACTTCATTAAATATCTATACCAATATGAATATGTTTAGTCTTGTGATAGATATGGAAAGTCATTCACCTCAGTAATGTATTTCCTGTATTCATAAGCTATTAAAGTCTTGATTATAAATTCAAAACAGAGAGGCCATGACTTGTTTACTCAGCTTGAATTTGGTTAGGTTTTTTTGAATGCTGGTAGACTCTACAGTTGTTGCAAGAAGTTTCAAGGTTCCAAATCTAATTAGAAATCAATCACTTGCTAACTGTCAGTAACTTACAGTGTACATGTATTATATTTTGAGAGGACAAAACCCAAAAGTTGTCCAAGACACAGAAAAAGTACCCCAATACAACTTATGATATCCAAAGGAAGATTTTTCTCCATCTAATTAACAGTGATCCTACACATATTTAAACTCAACCACATTTTTAAATATTTTGCCAACTTCCAGTCACTATTATAAGGATTGCTGAAAATCACCTGTCAAGGATTGGGTGATGAATTCAAAGAGTGAAATGTAAAAAGCAGATGCAGTAGTATGGTTTTATTAAGCTTTGATTACATTCTTCAAAATCACATTCTACCAATACTTGAAGGATGCAAATACTAATCAGAGAGAAATAGTTAGGGTAAAATAAAATAACCGGTAGAATTGCATTTGAATCGGGAATAGGTCAATTTAAGCAGAGTATCAGGGAAATACTAGTATCATTCTGGAAGTAGTAGTCAGGCATGCAGTGGAAGCAACATCATTTAGGAAAGTTAAACCTACATGGGACAAAACTACATACTGGCTGATGAAGTTCTACACTACCAGTGGCGTAGCTCAGGTAGAACCACCTCCATGCTCACGGATCCTATTCAAGTCCTTTTGTACTTATGCTTGAAATCTCCGAGGAGTGTAAGAGTGGGATCAATACTTAAAATACTATTTCATAGAACTGGACAAGACTCATGGAAGCCTACTATTATTAGAAAAAGAGAAAAACCTCATGCTAATTCCCTCTGTCCATGATTCCTTATACTGCCATATATATATATATACAAACACACACACTGGAGATATATATACAAACACACACACTGGAGATATATATCTATATACACTACACAAATACATAAAGTTTACCTTTGCCCATATCGATATTCTCTCAGCTGTGGTTATTGTATCTCAACAAACATTACAATGCAAGCAACATTGCAGCAGCTGTACATCCCATTCTGATTTGTAATAAACAGTCATTATAATGAAAGAAAAAAATTAATTCATTATCAAAGTTAGCTGAGTAGTAAAACCACTTTTTAAAAGTGTATATTGTTCAGATAATCCTGGTTATTCATTCATTTTCTCCATACACTAGGTATGAGGTTCCTCCAAGCCCTAGAGGATCTTCTGAAGATTGCTTCTGTACTTTTTAAAGCTCAAGGCATATTTTGCAGAAAGCCAACTGTCAACACTTATATACATAAAAAATCAAGGCTGTGATTTTCATCCTAGCAGTCTCCAACCTTGGAGATATTCAAAGCCGAGCTGGACAAGACCCTGAGCAAATTGTTTTAGTTGACCCTGCTTTGAGCAGCTGGGTTGGACTAGATAACCTCCAGAGGTCTTTCCCGGTCTCACTGGTTCTGTGGAATAGGCAGAGACATTTTCTAGATTCTGTACCTCAAACACCGGTTGTTTCTCTTCTGCTCAGTCTCTCTCCCCCCATTTTCACAATTCATCCCTTTGTAACACCGACCACCTCAGCACCTCTGCTGACAGTTGTCCATTGCCTCTGCTTGTTGTCTGGTCCTCCTTTCATACTGCACAGCAAAGGGACTACCTACTAGAAAATGGAACACATAGCGTTTTCGGAAGACCGCGAAGTTTTCTGTAAGTGTCCCCTTGTATTTTCAGCTTCTATGTATCTGCCTTTCACTAAGCATCTGTTGAAGATCTCCCTTTTATTCACACTCCTATCATTTAAATGCCATATTATCTGCATGTATGAAGTTTAAAACTAATAATCAGTTTCTGTATGAACTGAATAAATATTATTTTAAATTACTGATTTAAAACTTGGCTACACTTAAATCGATTTGACTTTAATGGGTTATACATTTCCCTGAAAATATTTAAATGCTAATTCAAGAAATAGAAAAATTCAGCTTCCTATATTGATCTTCACTTATTTGGAATGACTCTAAAGCTTGTGGTTGCTTACTAGAGAGCTAATTGCAGACCCCACTGTAAGTGCAATTAAGCATATTAGAATTTTAGTTTAAATCTTTATTTTTATATTTCCTTATTTTTATTTTAAATATTTAAAAATTAACTTACTTTTGCATTATGTTTATACAGCAAACATAAGCTATGATGCAACATATTTTTTTATGTAACATGAGTTGTTAAGATCAAGCATCAAAAGCAGATGTGGGGTATTAATCTTCATAGGTGCTTGCTATATGACTAGTCTGTTATTGATGTGAAACTAGGCCTAAGTGCAAAATGTGATATTTCAAATATATTCCTTATAGAGCCATTTCAAACATTTATGTTCCTCTGATAATTTTTTTTTCTTTCAGTTATATAATATTGGCTTCCAGCTGTAATAATTTGTTTCACCAATAGTGAAAATTTTTAAAAATGCATGATATTAAGTATTTTATAATGTAATTATATGTATTAGTGAAATTAATGTTAAATATTATTAGAAGGTTTTAAACAATTAGTAAAGATCTTTACCAAATAAGTAGTTATATTTGAGCTTGTAAATAAATGTAATTTGAATCTTTTAGATATTGGAAAATAATCAGCACTATAATGAATAATCTTGTAACAAGAATATTGGTACAGTTAGGTTTTGCTACCCAGTTCCTAAGGAAAACCTTTTCAAAGGGCTGGAAGTTCATAGTGCTAATTTCATTTTGCATCTAGCATTCCTCTGACATCAGGAACTCCCTTTTAAAATGTAGCTAACTGAACATACCTATTACCAAACTAGCGTTACTGTAAGAATCCTCACAGAAAACAGTGTTGACTACTCACATAAAACTTATATCCCTATTTATTTCATCCAGAAAGAAATGCACATTGATGACATAGTACACTGCACTTAGCATACAGTTAAAAAGATATGGTCAAAACTAAAGGTAGCAAGCTATCTGTAGTTAAACCTGTTTCCAAGACAGCATCAACTGTCTGTGCTCCGAGACCCCTGGAACTGCAGAGGTACACAACTCCTGGCTTCATTCAGCCCAACTGCAAAATCTCCCTTTGACTTATACCTGGCAGGATTTCAGGTAGAAATGTGTTCATACAGAATGAAGGTCCTTCAACAGCAACATTGTTGAGCACACCATAAATAACAAACCAGCAAATGTACTAGTTATGTGGGTTGGTTTTTTTTTAATTCTAGTATTAGCTGGCTTTTGCTATATAGATTATGCAAGAAAGGGATAATATGGGATACTAAATAACTTCAAGATTATTCCTAGTAACAAATAATATAAATTCTTAATCCCTTGAATATTAATGTCAAAATGCCAGCCTCCACTAAGTGGAATAGTTTAATAACCATTCAGAATCCACCTAGTTATATTCAGACTTAGTTTTATACCAATTCCTTCTTGAAGATTTATTTACCTAAATGATTTTTTTTCTTCTATAACAAATTAAACATAACACTATTTCATCTTATTAATGAACAGTATAAATTTTTCTAAGTCAATCACAAAAGAAGACTAATTTATCTGTCAGCTGCATAAGGCTAAATGTCAAAAACGTGTTAAAAGGCCCTAATACACCATGTTTTACTTGATTAACAGCTAACTTGCAGAAATCCCAACAATGTGTTCTTGTTTCAGTCTTATTTGCATTGGCGAGCTTTCCTTATGCACTAATCTAGGACCTCACAGGTCTAATCTATTTGCACTTTATCACAGAAGCAGGAACTGAATTGCCACAGCATATAGCTCTATTATCAGACATACTCAATTGCTTATCTGCTGTATGCTGCTACAGTAGGACCAACTTTATAAATATCAGCTTCATGAAAGCAACCTCTTGAGCTGCTTTGGGCCAGTCCAAGAGCTGAGATATTCTTTGAAAAGTTTCTTGTTAAAACATCAAGGAAGCTGATAGCACTTTTGCATATTCTGATTTTCAAACTTTTTTTTTTTTTAATAGGAATAAACTTTTGTTTGTTTGTTTATTGCAATGTAACCTTTATTGCTGTTAAGAATTTTCAGTGCTTAGGAGAGGCGCCAAACTTTGGGGTAAGGAATTGAATGAATACTTTTTTAGTTTAGCTCTAAAATGCACTCAAAAGTGATTAAAGTTGTGCTGATGCGTTTCTGATTCCTGACAAGAGAACAAATTATAGCAGCAGTATTGCTGGAAAAATACAAAGACTGAAAGGAGTCCATTTCAGGAAATTTTGATGCTGTTTTATGATGTATACAGTAATTTTCTCACTTAGTGTTACCAAGCTACGTAATCACTAAATATGAAAGAAAAAGAAAATCAGAGATAGGTACTTGGAAAAAAAACTATTTTCATGAAGAATAAGGAGCCATATTATCTAATTCAGAGCCAAAATCTCCATCTGAGTATTTTCAGGAACAAAGCAGGGAAACATAAATGTTCGAACACTTGGGTTTTGGACTTGAAAAAGAGCTTCATAATTCATTCATATCATATGATCATGTTTTAGGGGGTTTTTTCTTCCCATAGAAACTACGAAAAGCAATTCAATTCAATTTTAGTGAATTGTGGTTAACTAAACTGGTATAAATAAACCTGATTTCTATTTTAAGGGAGCTTCCCATGATGCTTTTGGAGTATTTTCTTCATTTTTTAAAAAATTAAAATTCTCAAAACTATTGAATTGACAAAGAATTAAGGTAAAGCCAAAAATTGGTCCTAACCTCAAGAGTATAAAACAAGATAATATAGCTGCAGAGTAGGTCTGATATAATTTCTAGGAAAAACAAACAAACAAAAAAACCCAAACAATGTCTTTCCATGGAAATCAGGTATTCTTGAATGAAAGCAGCATCCTTTCTTGAGAGCATTACAAATTTAAATTGATAAAAGTACTTCTATTGATGCAGTTGTTAATAAGAAACTATCACTAAGGGTTCTTGGTTTGTCCCATTTGGACAAAAATCTATTCCATATTTCTACCAGTATTTGCAGTGGAAAAAGTTAATAACTATTGATAAAGTCTGTACATCTTAAGAATGCTACTGCAGACAGGAATAGGGATAGGAAAGGTTACTCACTGAGAGCAGCTAGGATGAATTGGAAAGCTGGACACATAGGAATGAGACATATGTAAACATAATCAGTCAAGGTATTTAGCTGCCAGAAGACACAAGGAAGCTAGACACAATAGTTCATTTGGAACTTCTAGAAGATGCCTACTGGCTTCTTTCAATGTATACATCTCAGAGACTACAATTAAGATTGAGAAACCTACCCTTGAAAGTGTGGCCTTCAAGAGAAACTGACAATGTGAAAGAAATTGTGCATGATTTCTCTGTACTATAAACAAAATCATACAGAGATGTGCTTTTACCTTGGAAACTTCCTCCATTGTGTCTAACGCTCTAAGGTCAAGCACCCTGTTTCTCAAAAGCTCATATTAATTCTACTCTGCAGTGTTGCTTTTCTCCTCCTTTTTTTTATCTAATATACCACTCGTTCCTCAACTGTAAAAAGATTTCCCAGTAGCACACCGTGACTGGTGACACATTAAAATTACAAAGCTCATTTGTAGAAAAAGGCTATTATTTAACAATTCTGTGTACCTTTTCCTTAGATTAACAAAGTGGCATTTCTGAAGTAATATAGAATGATAAGCATATCACTAACAGAGTACTTCCCTTTACATACTGCCACCTAACTTTTAGAAGTAACAATCTCTACGTAACTGATTGAAACAGTCACCAGAAACCACAGCACAACTCAGCTTCATGCCACTTCTCAAAAGCATCGGCTTACGGAAGATACCATTGCCTTCATCAGCTGCAAAAAGACAGAAATCTCTGTGGCGGAGGAAAACATTCCATGGCCTTCATTGCATATGTGTCTCAGAGTAGCCTGCAAACACTGCAGGAAAGATGCCATTTCAGCCGACTGTATGTAAGCAAAGTGACTACTTTGTACAGAATTCAACCTTAGGGACCCCATGTGAGTTCTAACCATTTCCACTTGGCAAAACCACTAATCACACTGATTCTTTTAAAAAGTGTCTGTTCATATATATCGATGCAATTCCAAATGAAGTAGACATGAATTGCAAAAACACATTTCAGAGAAGGATCTAAAATTATCTAATTTTTCCAAAACATTACAACTAGCATCATTTATCAGACTTTGAACCTTAATTACAGCAATAAATAAAACTTGACACAAAATTTCCATACCATCAGGGTCTCTACTGTTGTCACATTTCAACATATACACAAAGAAGTTCTATAGCACAATTTTTAAACAAACTCTGGGACAAATCCTCACTATGTTATTCAAAAATAACACATCCTGAGTTCAGTAAAATTTTACAATTTGTATGTCTGACAATAATATAATATCTCATTATCAGATACATATAAAACCTTCAAAATTATAAAAATTTTATTTATTTATTGGTTTACATTTATTTCAACAGAATTTTAGAATGGTACTGGTACAAAATGACTTGAAAACAAGTAATTGCCACTTATTAATTTGGGTTAGGTTTTAACCCAGTACTTCTTAACCTTTTGTATTTCTGGTAGTGAGAAGATGACTATATGTGATCTATTCAACACCTCCACACAAGCTGATTCTACTACAAACCTTGGCAAACCATCATTAGTTTAATATTTTCAACAAAGAAATAACATTACAATTGAAGAGAGATTGCAACTTAGCAAATTACCCCAGCTAAGAAGTATTGCATAAGCGTGTTTTCTCTGAAGTGCTGCAGATATAGCTGAGGCAGAAGATAGGAGACAAGATTTCTTTGGCTTTTGATAATGTACTTCATGCCCAGTTGCACAGAAGAACTGGTAAGTTTGCAGTGTCACACTCACTCTCCTTTCTACATTGGCAACAATAGCACGGCGGTTAAAGGACTGTTTTAAACTCTCAGCTGCCTCTATGGGCATTTTGGGAAAGTCACAATGTAGACTAATCCAGAAAAGATAGTTTACAAGGAGGAAAAACACATTAAAAAGTACTTCATGTCATTTTTTAATAATATGCTGTGAAATTGGTGAGCACTGTGTCCAGATTAGCAGTGAAAGATTAACAAAATAAGTGTAACTTTCTTTACTGCATAAATGCTGTAAACTTATCCATATGAAGCCACAGAAGTAGTAGTAATGCCAACTTTTTTCACTGTTGTTGACCAAGCAAACATTAGTAAGGTGATTAAACATACAAAGACATCAAAAATCCAACATTAGCATTTTAGGTGTTAGTCCCCACAGTGGCGTTTTAAAGTTGTATACAGTCATAAATATCTTCATAGGATTGCACACTACAGAATGGCACATAATACTTTAATTAACTGCACTCACCTGTGCACATTTAAGTGATATATATAAAAAGATCTGTGAGCTGCAAAAAGTGGATACTTGTACTAATTTTGGGGGCATATAAATTTGCTTGGATTATCTCGTATTCAAAGTTAACTGGAAGAAAAACCCTGACCTCACTGAAGGAGGTAGGAATGTTGCCACTAATTTAAACAGTCCAGATTTATCCCTTCTGCTAGGTATTTTCAAGTTAAAGGCATATAGTTTTTAAAGCAACAAAAGTAATTCTCCATTTTGTTATGAAATACAGTTTCTCTTATAAATTAAGCATAGGAAACCAATAGTGCTAACAGCAGGGCAAGTTAACAGTTGGTACGCTCACTTGCTCTTGGCTCTTCAGTTAGGCTCTGCTTAACAGACAAAAGAACAGGATAATCAAGATCACAAAGCCCCCAAAATACCCAAAACTCTACCTTCTTTACATCAGGCGTCCATGCCTTTCAGTTCTTTCAGGGAACAACCACTCATCCCACTGACTAAGGGAAAATCGTCCCATGTACTGGGCCATTTACTCCATCCCCATTTAAAAGGACATCCTTCTTTACCTCATATTCCTGTTTCAGTTCATCAGCCGGGAATCACTCCTTGCTCATGCTACCAGAACAGAGCCACCTGCTTTCCTGACAAGGCCCATAGGCTTTGTTACAGGTGCCAGAACAACCTAAAAAGACATTTTCTGGACACGCTTCACCCACAAGAGCAGCACATAATGCTGTTCCATGAGAAAACATTACCTTTTCTGACAGAGCTTCTTCTAAGGTTGCTAGTGCTGTGTCTGTGTTACTAGAATCCGTCTGCAATGACTTCACTCTGTCTTTTAGATTAGTTAGTTGTTTGTCTTTGTCCCTAAGTTGCTCCTGTAGATTTTCAATCTGAAAATAAAAACAGATTATAATATTCATCAACCTTGCCTTAACATTCAGAAAGGGACTTGGGTGCTAGAATCAATGGAATGTATACATATCACACATATGATACATATGCCTCAGTATACTGCCAAGTTTTTACATGGTATAATATCAACAGGTTTTAACTTCTGTCCTTTCTATTTTGTTTTCCTTTGCTAAAAAGTATCATTTTCTAAGAAATTCTAGGAAAAATCTCAGTGCAGCCAGATATTTTATTATTTAAATATTTTCTGATATTAATCACTTTAGTTTAAGGTACTGCATTATCTCAGTAATTCAAAGTATGTGTGGAATTACCCCTTTAGATTACTCTAGCTGCAATAAGAAGGACAAAGAAAGGGAGAGGCAAAGCGAGTTCAGTGAGCCTTAAACTGAGGAAGAAGAAAGATGATAACCTACCTACGTAAAAAAACCTCTTCTTCCATGATGCCCTGCTGTAAAGGAAACTCACCTGGACAGAGATCGGGATGTTTATATTTCAAAAAGCCAAACCCAGAAACAAAACCAAAAAAAAAAAACCCAAACAACCCAAAGGCCACCATTTCCATTCACTTTCTTCATCTCCATGAAGATTTAAGGTATGTCACACTAATTTGGATATTAAAACTGCTTTAAACAGGTCTAGTTCTTCCTCTAGCAAGTATCTAAGCACACTGCTAAGGTACCTACAAACACACTGGTTTGTTAAACAGGTCATGATTTATAGTGGTTAAGTCAGAAAGGTTTTGCACAAAAAATTGTCCACAGGACCATGTGGATTTTGGAAACAAATCTGAATAAAAGCACTCAGCTTCTGATTGTCATGGCAATCACCTTCTATGGCTGTAAGGGACAACGACTTTCTGGGCATAGTGCAGAGAGGACATGTGGTATGTCATATATGTAAAATTGTATTAATTGTCTGTCAGAAGAATCAACCTCCCTTCATCCTACACTCTCAGTGCCACTCACTATTATACCACTGGCATAAAACCAAAATTTGTTCCATAATGCTTAGGCACAAATAAATAGTAACAAGAAAATTAATTAGTCTATTATTTTAGTATGCCACTTTATATAACATGACAAAATATGTCTAAATCCATAAGGTATCATTTGTTCAAAACTGGTTTTAAATATGCTATTTAAATTAGACAAATTATTACTGTCAACACAGATTCAAATTCTTACTTTCATCAGTGATTTTACACTTTGGATCATGTTTTGTTGCTACTGAAATGAATGAAATTTTGCTGTTCATTTCATAAAGTAATGTAATTTTTCGCATGGCCAATGTAATTTTCATTTAAACCAATTCAGATTTTAACAGGAGCAGGATCCTTCATAATTACTGTTAAACTGTATTTAAAGATTCTTTTACAAACCTGAAGCTGAATTCAATGCATGTGCAGGTCTGCAGAAGTTAACAGTTATGTCAATAAAAATTTGGTCTCCATATGCAAAAACGTATCACCATAATCAAACACACTTTAATTTGGGGCATAATTTGGTAAAAATTCTCCTACTACTGCATTATACATGTGCACGAAAAAAAGCCTGAAGTTTTGACATCATATATATTTATAATTAACAAATCATAAAATCCACAGTACAGCTGTATGCACTGTATAATTGTTTGTTTAAATACATTTAAATTTTAAAGAACTTAAATAAAAATTAAAATAAAAGTAAAATAAAATTTGAAAGCAAATTTGGAGGAGCACATTCCAATTAGAAATTCATTATAACAGTATGGCAAATACAAGTATTGTACCTTTCTTCTTCCCCCACCCTCCCCCTTTTTATATACATACTTTGGTATGTCAGATTACTGCTATGGGCCAAAGATTCCACTTGCTCTGTAAACTATAAAATACTAAGGTATATATAGAAAGGTTTTGGGGGAAGACCTGACATAGAATAGCTCACTCTTGTAAATGACCTCTCATAATATTTTTCTTCGTGTGTATATTTTATACAGATACAGAAATAAGATACATGTGTTAATGAGTTAAGAACTTTTTATTTTATGGCATGTGTATTAGTCACATCTAAAATTACATTAACTGGCACTCAGAGGACTGCACACTATGTTTCTTTCTTTGCTTTCATCCAAGTATTAATGATTCCAACAACTACCTCATGACACCCTGTGGAATACTTAAGCAATTGCACATTTCAGCTTCACCAAATAAATTCTCAAGCGAAAAGGAAATAAAACAGGAGAGTGAATATTGATTACATGTTCTTTGAAACAAAGTTAAGATCTGGTCCTTTATTATCATCAGCTTGACCTACCAACTCTAGGCACCCTAAATTAAAGTACTTATTTCCTATGCACAGTGCTTATCTGAATTCCACAGCATTTACACGATTTCCTTCCTCTTAAAACTAATTTAAAATATGATCCAACCCTTAACCAAGAAAACATGTTCTAAAATTATTCAGCATTTACAAAATTCTTTCCTCAGAGGTAAAGAGAACAGGCAGCAAATTAAAAACATCCCCATTGAATCACAACTTCTTTAAAATAAGTTATTCAATGCATAGTCCATAGATAAAATAAGAAGAAAGGATCTTTTTTATTCTTCTATTTGTGCTATATAAATCTGAAGGAAATATGATGGGAACAGGACCACACTAGGGTATGTGAAAGTAGAATCAGTACCGCAGAGTATTTGTTTGTTGGGATGGGCACAGGATTAGCAAAGATCTGCTAATGCAGACAAGATTTTATGACCAGCTAATCACAAAGAGTTCTCTCAAAAAGATTACAGGAGACAAAGAGATTGAGCAGTCTCACATGCTAAAATCTTGGAACACAAGATATGATTTAGTTCTTCCTGGGTTTTTTAAACTCAGAAAGAATAACAAACCCTCTGGTAACCTCTGTCATTCTCCAACATATATTTGGGTACAGGCATATATGTAAGGATACAATTTTATTGCTGAATAATTACTTACTTTTAAGCATGCCTGAATTCAATTTATGACAGGGACTGTTAAGACTTTCTTAATCCTCAAGCACTTATACTTTTATCTGATAGGAAATTAGTTACTGTGTAGTTTTGTCAACATGTAATTCTTACTTCTGTACACTGCTATGTCCCTGTGCCATGAGCTGTATGAAAAGAAACTGCTCCATTCTTTCCATATTTCAGAAAGTGTGTATGTTCCCAGAGCTTAAGAGAGACTTTATTCCTTTTTAAAAAACAATACCCTTACAGATAAATGTCCTTCCTATGAGGTATCCTGTCAATAAACTGCAAGTGCTAATCTTGTCACTTTTTGGCAATTGTCTCAGGAATGCTTCTTAAATACTCAAGAGATTAAATCAAATCTCACCCACAGACAGGCTTTAAAATTCTACAATAACTCAAGTTCTCAAAATAAAATTACTTTCATTATCAAAATTAAGGTACTGTAGTATGGAATTCGTAAGAAAATTATATAATCAAAGAAAATATTCTGTGCTATAACAATTTGCCTTTAGAGATATGCATTAAAGTATAAGAGAAGTTTAAGACAGTGTAAGAGAAAATTTATCAGAGAATTCCTAGGCCTAGCTAGTGAAACTGTAAAGCCATAAACTTAGATCCATATATTTTCCTCTCTGCTCTGTATTTGAGTTTTAAATAACTCAGAAAACCAGTATTTTGTAACACTGTTTTTTTAATCATTTTATCATTTTTTAAAATCTTTTTAAATTCATTTTGCTCTATTCTAAATTTCTCTAGGCAGAACTCTTTGAGATTTGTTTCCTATTAAAACACAGGTCACGTCTGTTCCAGTGAAGTAGATCAATAATGTAAGATTAGCGTAATTTAAATTTAAAATTGAAACACGGGGGAGAAAACAGAACTTTTGTATATATAATTTTCATTATTAAAAAAAAAAAAAAGTCTTACTATTTTAAGAAAACAAATTCTACTGAACAATTTCCCAAGTACTGTTACATTTTACTTTAAACAGTTAATGGAATTATGAGAAAAAGAGATTTAATAAACAACAGCATTCATCCAACATGAGCATTAACTATGACTACTTTAAACCTTAATATTCATTCTCAGACTTCAGCTGCTGCCTCATAGATATACATAACAAAATACAAAAGAAGATAACTATTAACTGAAACAGAAAAATATAGTTAGGTATAGTTCAAATGCAAATACTCTACATGTCTTCTTACACACAATTTATTTTTATTAGTAAGACTCATGACAAATATTCTGTCTCATATGTTCCTTTTCAGAAACATCTTAGAATATCCCAGAACACGAAACCAGCTTTGGTAGTGTTCATCTTGGTAAAGTGTACATCTTGGTAAAATAGATGTATCTACAGATGTCCTAACATCTACGTTCATTTACATGTGCGTGTGTGTGCGTGCATAATTTGTAAAGAAATACCTACAAAAAAACTGAAATAGTTTTTCCCTAACATGACTATAAAAATATTACTACCTGAAAGCTCAATATTCAGAGGTATAGTTTTCAGAAAGCACTGTACGTTTTTAGCCAGCAATTTGTACCGAATGATGTACAGTTATTAAATATCAAGTCAAAGTATTTTAAAATTAACAGGCTTTACAGTAGCTATTTGAAGTTTCAGCTTATGGGGCAAGAGAGGGAAGCTATGGATCCATAGCTTTCCACTAACATTCATGATATGACCTAAATACATTTTTCAGTTTAAGCAGGATTTCTATTAACAAAATGAGTTCATTGAAGGACAACTTCTGCTTCAACAGTTTGACCTTGCAGAATTCTTTTGTTTTGAAAGAGACTAGCCCCAAAAGTGCTCCATCATTCAGTACCACTAACTTTCATTTTGGTTTTCCTCCTTTTAAGTAGGTAGACAGACAAGCATTAACTAGGAATATTTTTTCAAAAGTCAAAATGTATTTACATTTCGATTCTAAAAATTAAAATAAATGTTCTATTGAAAAATTATACTGTAATATAAAACTCTTTAAAATATTATAA